TCAATTTTTCGATTATTATTTTTATTGTGAAAACTTTTAATTTAAAAATTGTTTTTTATTTTTTATAAAAGTTTTAATTTTAGTTGTTTTTCATTTTTTGTGCAAAAAATTTTTTAAACTCAATAAAAATACAAATACAAGGAAACCCTAATCTATGTTATCTTTAGTACCAATTGCGACGCCACTGTGAACTATAATTGCGAAAAACTTGGGCGCAGTTATGCGTAGCTGGGATTTTCCCCCCGTAACTACGCGTAACTGCGATTTTCTCATCGTAGTTGCGCGTAACTACGTCGCAATTTTCCGCAATTACAGGTCACAGTGCGATCGCAGTTACGGCGTAACTGCGCCGCAGTTTCATCGTAATGAACCACATGGGGAAGTTGTAGGTATACTTGACATTTTTTTAACAAGTCCTTTTAAAATTGAAAACGTGTCTCCATATGTGCTCCAGAAAATGATCGCTGATGTTGCATCTGGTTTATGTTTTAAATTGAATTGAGTTGCATATTTTCGATAATTTTGAAATTCATTAACAATAGTTGCTCTTGTATTTTCACCACATCGACTATCTTCATAATTAATATCACCAATCGATTCATTAAACATATCAATGGCACTTTTATTTAAATTTCCAGTTGAATTTGTTGTGTTTGGTGAATTGGTTGTTGTCGGACTAATTGATAAAGTATTTGTTACCGATATTGACGATTAACATGCTCCATCAGTAACCATTTGTTTGATATTCTGCTCAACTGAACGTTTTTCACTCTCAGTGAATGCTGAAAATCCTGCAGGATCAAAATACGAATGCAACTAAAAATAGAAAATAATAATTTGATTAGGGCTTTCAAAACTACTAATTGTTTCCATAAGTATGTATGATTAAGCAACGATTTATGTGAAAGAAATGCGGTGTTCATTTTAAACTTCTTTCAAATTTTCACGTTTACTCCGAACAAAAAATGACCCTGCTCATTACTCTAAAGAACTACTTTAATATTTAATTGTGACTTTTTGTGTTCATAACATGTCGTTTGTCTCCAAACTTTAACAGAACTGGTAGTTTGCTCATTATTATGGTAGTGTTCAATGTTCTTTATACTAATTGAAAGCGCGCAACTAAGGAAATCTGAGCAAAGATGAACCGCAACATTTGTATGAATCGTAGTCACTTACTTTTAATAATTCCATCTGTTCATCATCACTTTCAAAGTAATGGAAAAATTGTTTCAATAATAATTGCTTTAGTCGTTTCTCTATTGAACTTTCTTTTCTGTCGTTTTGTTGTAAGAAATTCTTCAGGCGTGTAAGTAAATAAAAAGCCAACCCAATCGATGGATATTGACGACCAGACATTACCTTGGTGGCGTGATAAAATGGTTTAAGAATCGAGTGCACTACTAACAATACATTCCAGTCATCACTTGTTAATTCATAGTCAGCTAATTTTTTAACTCGTTTTGGTTGAATCTTTAATTGATGCTTGTAACTAAATAATTTTTGAATAAGCTGACACAGAACTAAAAAAGAATCGATCGTGCTAAATGTGCTGATNATGACAAAGATTTTGATTTGTGAAAATTGGAATAGGTTAATATTTGCATAGAAAATAATGATATTTCTTGCTGTAACTCAGTAAATCCTCGACGAATTATTTTCATCTTCGAACTCGACCGAGGTATTGATGAGATAATGCTGTCTACAAAATTTCATGACAATCTTATCAGCCTTTCCGGAGTTATCGTGTAAACGGCCGGACACACTGACCGATTCTATAGTGTACTCATTTTTTTTGAGTACACAAAAATAACTCAGTCATCTTTTGAACACTAGGGATATATCATAGTGATCTTCGAAAACTCTGATTTTCAACACATATTCACCACTGATCCGAAATATAAGCCAGTGCAATAGAAGCTAAAAGGTTGGCCCACTACCCTCGAGTGATAAGTCAGCTGTATTAACACTAAAACTGACCAAATTATATCCAGGCTTAGGAGAGACTATGAATCAATCATTGCTTCACAGGGAGAACATACACTCTAAAAAAGTAGTTTTTTTTACGGAACTTAAAAAGGTTCTTCCGGTGTGCCCGAGGGAAGAATCTTTTAAAGTTCCGTAAAAAGCCTATTCTTTTAAAGTGTACTGCGGCAATAGCAATATATTATAACTCAATATAATTCTTTTTACTGCGCTAAATAATCTCCATCTATAACTTCCACAAATCATCTTCGGCATTGCAGCGCGACTATTCGCCGCAACATTACAAATCAAATCGTAAGTGACACCTCCAGCGTGTTAAGTAGTTATATCTTCTATTTATGTTTTCTTTCTTTTCTTGTGACGTAATCATATGTATTCCAGCTATATGAATGTGATCTTTCTAGTATATTCGTTCTCCTTCTTTCTTGTATATGTGTTCTCTAGTGAGTTCTTAACTCTCTATTATCTTCTAGTGAATTCTGTGACTTTCCTTAACTCCGTATATATATATATATATATATATATATATACCTGTTGTTTATAACAATAAAGTGATATACACATACGTGATAACTAAAGCTTTTATTAGGCTAACAACTGGATAGTGATTCACAACCTATCATTGATGCACTAGTCAACTGTTTGTCAATTCAACATCACAAACATCTATATATCTTATTACTTGATTAATTTATCAAACTGGTTTCCACGCGCAATACATTCGAGGCACAAGCGCAAGCAAATCAACAACAGTACGAAAATAAATTAGAAGTGAAACGATTAGAACGTCAACGGAAACAACAGCAAGATAATATGGCATCGAACTTATCAGCTCAGCTATTACTGAAAGGTGTTCAATCGGTGGAAATATTTACAGGTGTAGATGAGCAAGATCCCTTAACATGGCTTCAAAACATCGAAGAATTATTTGAGGCTACCAAAGTTGATAAGAACGATCGTCGTCGATTACTTCCAATGTATTTTGGAGATGACGTGAAAAAGTGGTATCGTAGTGAAGATCATAGTAGTGATTATGACGATTTCAAAAATCAATTCGTCAATGCTTTCACATCCTCGGTACACAAATTAAAGATCTCTACAAAACTGATGAATCGACGTCAAGGAAACGATGAGTCCGTTCAATCGTATTATTACGATATTTTAGCGCTATGTGCAAGATTCAATCCAGAAATGCGAGAAGATGAAAAAATATTATATCTACTACTCGGTTTAAAACCATCCATACAACAACATGTGATCATCAGTGATCCAAAGAAATGCAAGGACTTGTTTGAACATGCGAAACGTACAGAAGCAGCAGCAGCGATTATACAACCCGTGTCAATTGAAACATCGACAATATATGAACATCATGAGGAAACAACAGCAGCTCTTCGTCATGCCATAACCAATCGAAACAATCGTCCAATGGATTATTCCAATGCAAATAAGAAAAATAAAAGTAGTCATCGCTGGTCACAACAATATCATACCAACTGGTTTTATCAATATCCGCGAAGAACATCCTCACAACTTAAATGTTATAATTGTCATGGTGTTGGACATTACGCCTATCAATGTCCTAGTCATTTAAACTAATACGGGTGTCACCAGATGGTACTGTCACCCGTAACAATCGAAAAAATCCATCATCATTAATACATATTCGAGTTTTAGTGAATAACATCGAAACTAAAACAATGATTGATACTGGTTCAACAATATCAGCTATAAATGCAACGTATCTGAAGAAACTGAACATTAAACAAGATACTTATTCAACGACAATTCCCTGTAAAACGGCTAACAACAGTGAATTGCACATTTCTGGTATAATCGTGTTACCTATAACTATAAACGACATACAAATGAAAGTTCATACTTTCATCATCGACGATTTATGTACTGATTTACTACTTGGTGGAGATTTTTGCGACTTATATCAGGTTAACATCGATTATAGTAAAAAGTGTCTTTCTTTTAAAAGTCAAAATCACAGAACAGCAGTCAAGTTTGATAAATATGTGAATGAACAACAAGTTTTTAATGTGAAAACAATGAATGAAATTACGATACCTCCATTATCAGCTAAGATTATTCAAGCAATAACAACCGCACCGTCAATGTCAGCCATATTTACACCTTCGTCAAACAGCTTAAACAAGAAATATATCATCGCTCCGCATGCTATTTTAATGATCGATAACAACAAGACGACGTTCCTTACTTTACTGAACACAACATCAGTCATGCAAACGATTGCGAAAGGTACGAATGTGGGTCAAGTCAAATATCATGAAGACAACACATGTTACTATGCGTGTCCTGGGGTGAGTAACACATTTCAACATACCATATCTGCTTTATCGCCAACATCAATACAATCACAAAGACAGCCATATGCAACGATCACCAACACTATTAATGAGTTGATATATCATTTGTCACGTAGTCAACAAGAACACATCAGAACAGTATTACTCAAACATAAAGATGTGTTTGACATATAGAAACCATCGATTATGAAAACAAACAATGTTAGTCATCGTATCCCGATCCAACAACAGCATCACCCAATTCAATCATATCCATATCGCAGACCAGCTAAAGAAACTCAAATCATAAATCAACAAGTCAAAGAAATGTTGAATAATCATATTATTCGTCCAAGTTCAAGTTCATGCTCATCACCAGTGGTGATTATTAAAAAGAAAGACGGTAGCCCACGATTCTGTGTAGATTAAAGACGACTAAATGCAATTACTGAACGTGATGTGTACCCTCTACCAAGAATCGACGACATCATCGATAAGCTGGCAGGATCGCAGTACTTTACAACTTTAGATCTTAAGGCTGGTTATTGGCAAATTCCTATCGACGAACAGGATAAAAACAAGACAACATTCGTGACAACCGATGGCCTGTACGAATTTAATGTTCTACCATTTGGTCTATCAAATGCGTCTGCCTCGTTCCAACGTATAATGAATTCTATTTTGTGAACACTACGATGGGATATTACATTAGTATATCTAGATGATATTATCATTTATTCAAATTCATTCGAGAAGCATGTAAAACATCTCGATTTGGTACTTGATGTATTACAGAAAGCCAATGTGAAACTTAATGTTACAAAATGTTCCTTAGTACGTAAACAATTGGATTACCTTGGTTTTCGAATTACGTAGGAGGGCATCAAACCAACAACAACTAATGTGAAGAAAACAATCGATTTTCCAGTACCTAATTCAGCTAAAGCAGCATATTCATTTGTTCAAATGGCACAATTTTATCGACGGTCCATTAAAAATTTTGCTAACATTGCGGCTCCATTAAATGTATTTAAGACAAAGAACGTCAAATTCATATGGACAAAAGAATGCCAAAAGTCTTTTGATACACTTAAGAAACAACTATCTCAGTATCCTCTACTAGTATTTTACGGCGGTAAATCAAAATTGAAATTGAAGATTAGTACCGACGCATCGAATATGGGAATAGGTGGAGTATTGCATCAAGTCAACCGTGATGGACACCTTCAACCGGTTCAATATTGATCAAGATCATTATCCAAACGAGAACAAAAATTTTCAGTCGTCGAGAAAGAATGTTTGGCAATGGTTTGGTGTATTACCAAATTACGTCCGTATTTGTATGGACGTGAGTTTACTCTCATAACAGATCATCACCCGTTATGTTGGTTGAATAAACAATCATCGAAGAATGGTCGCCTCGATCGATGGTCATTACAACTACAAGAATATTCTTTCGATATAAAGCATACACCAGGATCGTTGAATTGTGTGGCTGATTGCCTGTCTAGATATCCCATTCAACAACTAGATGAAATTGTCGAAGATCAGTTAGATGTGTTGCATGGTCCGAGTAACAACATCAATATGATTGTCGATCTATCCTTCGATGCAACTCGAATACGTGAACAACAAATAAAAGATAACAAAATCAAACAAATATACGAGCATCTGTCAAGTGGAAAACAGCGTCCCCCTTTTGTGTTAGAAGACGAACTAGTCCATAAGGTAGTTCATCGACCCGGTGGATTAATCCTAAAACTACCCTATGTTCCGACGTCAATGATCAACCAACTGTTACAAGCTTATCATGCCAGTCCAACAAGTGGTCATTTAGGTATTAATAAAACATGGCATGAGATTCCTGATCGATACTTCTGACTGGGGATGTACAAGAAAACTAAAGAGTACGTGTTGGCTTGTACAAAGTGTAAACAATTTAAAATCAATCGAACAAAACTCGTCGGCAAGTTACAGTCAATAAAGTCTCCAACAGGAATATTAGATCTTATTGGAATGGATTTTGTCGGCCCAGTACCACAATCGTTGAAAGGAAATAAATATATTTTGGTTTGTACGGACTATTTGTCAAGATTTTCCATCACTCAAGCTACAGCTAATTGCACTGCCGATACTGCTGCAAAATTTCTAGTTGATAAAGTCATACTACAATATGGAGTGCCTAAACAATTACTGACTGGTCGTGGAACTCATTTTATGACAAATGTCTTTAAAGCAGTTGCCTCTAGATGTGGTGCTAAGCATATCACAACAACATCTTATCACCCGCAATGTAATGGTCTCACTGAGCACTTCAACGCAACTCTCGTGGATTCAATTGGAACTTACGTAAATCAACAGCAAAGTGACTGGGATGATTATCTAACGTATATTACATTCGCATACAATACATCTAAGCAAGCTACCACTCAAATGGAACCATTCAAATTAATGTACGGTAGAGATGCAATTCTTCCCTTCGATATTCCAAGTCAGATTGCAAAGCCGTCTTCAGTCAATGATTATTATTCGCAATTAGTTCGATTTTTACAACAAGACAAGTCAACAGCATGATGCAACATCAAACGACAACAAAATATATACAAAAAAACATATGATATTGAACGACAAGATCTAAAGCCACTCATAGTAGGACAACTGGTCTTTCTCAAGCAAATGATGTTGAAGAATCTTCGGAAATTCTCACCAAAATATTATGGTCCATTTCGTGTTTTACGCCAACTTAGTCGATTGAATTACGAATTAGCGCATGTCAACGACGGTCACATCGAAAAAGCACATGTGTCAAGGATTCGCATTATTACTTACTTCATGACAACGATAGCCACAAATGATAACGTGATCTTTGAACGAAATTTGCTGGGACAACATCATGTGAGAAGAAGGTGGCAGATTCTTCTCGATTCTACCAAAATTAGTTCATTTTTTTTCTTCTTTTTCGTATAGTATGAGCGGGACGCTTCATATTGTGGTTGAGGAGGTGTTAAGTAGTTATATCTTCTATTTATGTTTTCTTTCTTTTCTTGTGGCGTCATCATATGTATTCCAGCTATATGAATGTGATCTTTCTAGTAAATTCGTTCTCCTTCTTTCTTGTATATGTGTTCTCTAGTGAATTCTTAACTCCGTATATATATATATACCTGTTGTTTAAAACAATAAAGTGATATACACACACGTGATAACTAAAGCTTTTATTAGGCTAACAATTGGATAGTGATTCACAACCTATCGAGCGCTTTCTATTTGATAGCGTTCAACGACAATCATTATATTTTCACTATACGCTGAACACGAGTATGCAGTGAAAGTAGTGACAATCACCGAACAACTGTTATGACAAACAATGTAGAGGGAAAAACGACAAACTACGAAATGAAAGTACAGGAAAATATAAAATCAATCAACTATTTCGTTCATTTCACCAACGAAATATTGTTACCATTAGGTATACTCCATCATCGTCGACCACGCACCTTACCTAGCAGCTGACTCATGTCTTCGCGTTCATCCTCAGGCATTCTTTGCCAGCACTCGCTCTTCTTCTCTGCTAAATGGTCCTCAGCTCGGGTTAATGCGAAGTACTCTTTTGCCGGAACCGACTTGTTTTCCAGATAGCCCTTGTATGTCTCTACATCTTGTGTCACGAGGTTCCATACACTTTTTAGCCAATTCCAAATCTTGCTGACAATACCGCATACCCAATTCCAGAGCGACGATAACCACCCCATATCTAAAATGAATCGAATTCTCAAGTATACACAGCGACTTAGAATATGAAAATTTAAGGATAAAATGACGCACTCTTTTAGAAGACTGTGTTTATTCTGTCTTAGCCAGCAAAACGTCGTGTGTACTTCCAATCATCGATAAATAGTCTCTATTAACACTACCATCATATCGGCATATCAGTGAACTCGTTGTATCTTTAGACGCATCTCAATCGATGAGAATGCATTATAGGTCAGTGAATAATATGACCGAGAAAAATCTTACGTCCACGAACATCTCTAAATTACAAAGTCGCCATTACTG